CCGCTCCGCGGCGGCGGGACCTCCGCGGGGCCACCTGCCCCCGCACCCCGGGTGGGGCCCGCGCCGCCCCGAGCAGGGCCGGGCCGGGCTGGGACGGGACGACCCCCACCGCCGCCGCCGAAGTTTCCCCGGGAGCAGCCGGGAAAGTTGCGGCCGGCAGCGAGCGCAACTTTGCGCGCCGGCCCCGCAGCCGCCGCCCGCAGCATCCCCGCAGCATCCCCGCGGCGCGGCCCGGCCCGGCCCCGTTCAAACTTGGCGGCCGCCGCTCCGAGCGGGCCGGCGGATCAATGCGGCCGCGGCCAGCCGCGCTGGGAGCCGGGCTACAGGTTTCACCAGCCATCGCTGGCAACAGCTTTGTCATTTTCTAAAAATAAGAAGCTAAAAGTTATTGTAGAAGAAGGGGCTTTTTTTGTCCCCCGCACAATGTGCCTTTTGTGAGTTTAATGCCATTCTGGGGCTCTCTATAGCCCCGGACAATGGGGAACTCCAGGAGGCGGCTGTGCCTCTGCCTTTTTTCTTTCTTGCTTTCTCTTTTCTCCCCCCCCCCCCCTCCTCTTTTTTTCCCTTTTTTCCCTCTTTTTTTTTTTTATTCTTTTTTTTCTTTGCATTTTTTTTTTTTAAGGAAAGGATGCAGCATTCCTCCAGTCCCACCAGAACCTCTGCTTTGATTAAATAAATATTTCTCTAGCCTTACGGTAATGCTTTTTACTTTCTGTTTGGGTCCATCTGCAATTATTATTTAAAATTTTTATTTCCAGCAGCTTTTCCCTCCCCATTCTAGCTCTAGCAAAAAATGTAGATGATTGCTGGGAACGTGGGATTTGAATTTTAGGAGGAGGTGAACCAGTAGCAAGCCTCTATCCAGGCTTCAGGAATATGTTTTTTCATCTTTCTATAAGAGGCTATTTTATTACTAGCAGAAATGCAGCTGAATTAAATCATTTGTCTTGAAAATCTAAAGAAGCTTTTTCTTTTTTTCTTCATTTTTTAAATTTTTTTTTCTTTATTTTCATAATAACATAAATAATTAACTTCCGGGTTTGTTTCATAGCTCTGAACAAGGAATGCAGTTGCGGTCAGTTTTTCCATTTGGGAGAACCTTAATGTAGATGTATTTTATACTGCAAGGTAATAAACTGCATGTTTGTTAGTAAATATTTTAATGAAATGTCTTGAGCTATCCCTATTTCTTAATGTGGGGGTTGTCATTTGGAATTTTGACAAGTCCCTTTAAGTGGGATGGGAGTGAAGGAAGAGGATGGATGATTAGGAATTTGACTGTACTGTTGATGCATTGAGGGAAGTGTCTTGCATTTGAGAGATAGTCACAGGTTTTAAGACTTAGGGTTTGATAGGTGCCACAGTTCTGTGGATGTTGTACCTGGTGATCCCGGTGTGCTGTGTGTGAGTCCTGGTGGTTGGATTGACTCCAGTACGAGACCAGTTTGCCTTTAAAAGCTGCCCTTAAAAATCTGTCAGTCCCTGCTCGATATATGTCTAGCTGGCTTTATGGAAGAATAATTGTTAATGTACTTGCCCTTAAAAAACAAAACAAAACCCTAAAACCAAACCCTAAGAAAAACAATGCCAAGCAAAAAAAAAAAAAAAAAAAAAAGAAAAACACAAACCAACCAACCCCCAAACCACGGAGCCCTGGGGGAAGCGGAATTTTTCAGGGCTGCTCAGTGCGCTGTCTGAAAAGGTGCATGTAATTTGTAACTGTTTGCTGAACATGAACCAAACGTGGGTTGAGGATGAAGTTGAGGCAAGAATAAAGTAACCCTTGTCTTTAGCACTTGGGATAACTTAGAAGTGCCTCTTTTCTCCAGAGGCTGTGGATCCAGTGGCCCAGGCTGCGAGTGGGTGCTGCCTGCGGCCACATTTTTTGCAGAGCAAAGCAAAAGGAAACGTGTGGGGAAGTTGGGGAGCAAAGGAGCAACTGTGGATGCTCCAGAAATAGGCACCTCCGCAGGGACGTGTGCGGGCGCGGGCTGGAGCCATGGATGTTGTCTCTGTGCTTGCATCGTGAATTCTGGCTGTGTGCTGCTGTCCTCTAATTTCCCATGACAACATATGGATCCCATAAAGGCAAACATGCCGGAGTGCATCTGTCTGGGTAGTTAACACAAACCAAACATCCCCCTGCTCGGCGATCCTGCTGCTCCTCTGGCCGCGCTGCGCGGAGCCCTCCTGCGACAGCCCCTCGCTGCTCCGGCATTCCCCGTCACGCTCCCGGGGTGAGCCCGACTGCCCCGGGAGGGAGGAGGGCAGCAGGCGCCAGCTCAGGGGAGCGGAGAGGTTAAGCGGGAAGAGGGGCGCGCGCCCTGCGGCCCCCCGCCCTCCTGGGAGCTGGTCCAGCCCGAGCAGGCTCTGCCCTGGGGTCAAGTCCTAGGACATCTTCCCTCCACTCCTGGCAAGGCAGGAGCTGAAGCTGGGAAGGGAAACAGCCAGATGAGCGGATGGCAGAGATTTGCCCCTCGTCCTGGATGCAGCCGTCTGGAGGCTGGGGAACGGGAGAGTTCCCAGTTTTCCGAGGTGCAAAAAGAGGTGGTGAGGGGAGGCTGTGTGTGAAAAGAAGGGAAGGAGCAAGTGACGGCCGCAGGACCAGCGGATAAAACCACTACGCAAACACCGAAATGCAGCCAAGGAATTAAGGGATAATTCGTACAGAAATTGTTAGGTATGATTACATGTATGTGCATGCGCGTGTCTCCTCTAGAAAATTTGCTTTCCATAAGATTTCTTTGTTCTAGGCAAAAAGACAACCTGGTTGCTAAAATATAAGAAGGGGCTTCCCTTGCTTTAATTAGAAATCTTGATACAGCCTCATCTGCAATAGTGCGGGTGCCTCTTGTTTCTATACATGTATCTCTGCACACGCATAGATGCGATTTTGGGTTCAAATAGCTTTTAATGTGCTTTAGCAGAAAGAAGCTCTCAGTATCAGATCTGCAGGGAAAGTAAGACTGATTTTTCCCATAGGAAACTTGTTAAAGACACAGCTGAATTATTAGATCAGCCCGTTTTTTTGTCTCATGGTATATCTGACGTATTTGCGCATAGAATCGTATAGTTTAATTTCCGTTATTTTGAACACATGGAACGAATAGCGGTGCTTTAAAGTTATTATTTGTAGAAATGTACACAAATTAAGAGGAACAACTTTGAAGCAAAATGTTTTTCTGAGGCAGCGCGTATGGCTTTCTGGACAGGACTCTCGGCAAAGATGGTTGTTATCTCTGACATGTAAAACAGGGGTGAGCAGCTCCAGTTTCCTGGGTTCTTCCCTGGAGATACGACCTGGCTGCCAGGGGGCTCAGGAGCAGCTCCCTGAGGCTGGGGTGGGTCAGATTTGCATGGGGCCGTGGTGACAGCACCTGACTCGGGCGAATTTTTAGGGAGCCACAAGCATATTCCCTTGCTCGCCGCCTGGCATGAGGGGACCGGGCCAAGACTTTGCAATGCCGGAGGCCGATGGTGCACAAGGGGCTGATGTATGGGGATAGTAAAAAAAAATAAATTCCCAGGCTATCTTTTTAAATTCAGGCTTTAAAAAAATTATTGGTGGTAGAGGGGAGATCTAGCTTAGAAAAAATCTCCATAATATCATCCACTTCCACAGCTCTGTGCTTCTTGGAAATGTGTCTGAAGAATCAGAACAAAGCATGGAAGGCCAGAGTCCTTGAAGGAGCTCCAAATGATAAAGTCTGCCATTCATTTTAAACACAGCGTGCATTGTGGAAACACAGGTCAATTTGAAGGCATTTGTCAGATTTCCAGTTCCCTCTGCTCCTTTGCAATGGAAATTTGCAATCAAATCCCTGTGCTGGAGTTGGGATGTCTGCCTTGATCAGTTTGTATGACTTTATGCCCAAAGCACTGGCCAGGTAAGCTAGCTTTTCCTTTGGAAAGTTTGTTTGCGTGGAGTTGAGCAGGAGACGGGGGGGAAGACTGAGGGGAATCGAGCTGGAGCAGATGCGTTTATTCCAGGTTTGGAAAGGGGAAAGGGCAGGCGATCGGCGGTGACGGATTGCACAGGGCTGGCTGAGCGGCAGGAGTGAGCTGATACCATTTAGAGACGCCCAGCAAGAGGCATGGAAAGGGATATTCCAACAGCAGCGTGGTCATTGTTGAGATGCAGAAATGCAGCAGGGCTGAAGAGCCACATTGCTGAGCAATTCTGGCCAGACAGCAGGAATTTCTTCTGGCGGCATGTTCCCCTTGGTTAATGCTGGGGCTGCCACCCTTATTGCTGACACGAGTGGGGATGCTGGAGGGGAGAGTGCATTTCTCTAGAAGAAATGCTGTAGGATTTGGGGAGGTTTGGGCTGGAGGGGATGTTCAAAGGAACATCTTCAATTTATTTCTGGGGGTTTACCTGATTATTAAAAGACACTGCGCTCTAGGCAGTGGGATTGACGGGACCTCTGTGGGCTATTCCAGCTGTCCCCAAACCTCTGGCAAGGCTGCTGCAGCCAGGCTGAGTAAACACTCCTTAGTCAGCCAGCAGGCTTGTAATGTGCATTTGCTTGTTTTGCAGGCCATAACACAAGAGGAGTGGATGTGTTTGCCATGGAAATAAACACTTGGAATACATCTATATGTTTCTTGGCTTTTTGAGAGAAATGAAGAAAAAAGTCTTGGCATTTAATTAGGAGTCACTAACCTGATAAATATTGAACATCATTTCTTTGTGAGCTGCTCCCTGTGGTTGCAGTACTCTATGGATGTATTCCACAATTGCACTTGTTTAATGCCTGTATCACCTCATGCCTATTGTATTTATGTTGTCATCAATGTCAGATTTTAATTAAACAATTAAATCACTGTCACAGCAATTTCCCTAGAAAACTATTTTAAATGAAAAATCCCACAATAAATGTTTGAGAATCATCTTAAAGGGAAAAAAAAGAGGGAAATAAGTTACAAAATAAAATTACAGTTCCCACAGAATTAGAAAGAAAAAAAATGTTTTCAGCACTGAGAGGAATTCTGGATTACATTCTGATTCCACAGCATTCAAAGTGTGTCAGTAGGGAGACTAAGACAACCTAACTTGTTTGGGGGCCAGTCTGGGTCTGTCAGGTGGAGCCGATAGTGCAGGGACCCTGGTCCAGGGCTGGCACATCCTGTGCTCACCCCCCACTGTGGGCCAGGAGCAGTGACAGCATAGCAAACCTCTCATCTCAGCACAAACCAGGTACCAAGTGTTCCTTGGAAAACAGTCCATCCTCCTTCTTCCCCTCTGACTTATTTCAGAATTAAGCTGCAGATTTGCAGGAAAGCCTGCATCAAATTATTCACTAAGTTAAGCACCAGCACCAGCTGTACTTACTATATAGTAACTACGTTCCCCAACCCTGAGTTGTAACCAGTGAGCAATCGGATCTGACATAGCATCTTTGCTGCAGTTAATCAAACAGTTCATTGTTATCTCTTTGTAAATATCTGCTCTTATTCCTCTAAACCTGTACTTCTTCGCACGGAAAAATCACAAACATGAGATGCAAAATTCATCAGACAAGGTATCTGCAGGAATCACGCTCTCAGCCACACGCCACGATATTACCTGTATTTAACATAAGCACATCTGACATTTGCGGCGACGCGAGCTGTGCTTATTGGAACAGGGGGCTCGGCTGTGATTGCAGCGCGACGCACCCCACGGCTGCCCCTGGCCCTCCCGGCCAGCGCCGCAGCCGCTTTATTTGTGCCCTGGGAGGGCTGTGCTGGGAGCTGTGGCGGGGGCTAGGGAGGCTCCACTGTCCCCCTGCCCACAGCAGCCCCCAGCTGGGGCTGAGGGGTCACCCCTATCCCAGCACCCAGCCCAGCAGGAATCCTGGGCACTGTTCCTTTTAGGTCCATGCTGCATTTTTTATTGGAATGCAGCTTTGCAGATTGGGTTATGGCTGGGCTGCGTGTGGTTTGTATCAGCCCTGAAGTGTTTTACAGCTGGAGATGATTTGGGGGGGGGGGGGGGGCACATCCAGCCTGTCCACAGCCAGGTCTGATGTTTGTCTGCTGCTGTCTCTCTAATTTTTTTCTATGTGCCTCCATCAAAAGGTGAGGTTAGCACTGGGGGGGGGGGGGGGGCGATGACAACAACAACAACACCAGGCCCATCCCTCCCCCCTCCTCATTTCAGTTCGGTTCTCCCAAAAGCAATTTGCCAGCAGATCCCCTTTCCTCCTGTGGCCACAAGTGGAAGGTACCCGCTGCAGCTGTGCCCGAGCTGGGCAGCCTGAGGCCTGGGCACAGGCTGGCTGTAGGCAGCACCCTGGCAGGGACACCCCCACCCCAGCCAGCACCACTTGTGAGTCCAGGGCACAAAATCTATAACCTCAGTTCAGCCAGTGAACTCCAAAGCACATGCTTCCATCAAGCCAGAGCCATGGCAGAGCCTCCACAGTCCCCTTGACCAGGGCAGACCCTCACCTGGGCCTGTCCAGGCCCACCCGCACTGTGCCCAGAGGCTTTGCCACCAGAAGGGACTTGGCTGAGCATATGCAGCCAGAAATACATATTTTTATACTCAGGAAAGGGGAAAATGGATGAGGTTGCACAGAACCCTCCTCCAGGCAGGAGAGGCTGTGCTGGAGGAAAGTATTGCTCATAATGATACTTAAGCCCAGACACTTGAATGCTAAAGGTTAAACTTACATTCTTCAAGAAAGGGCTCCTTGCCAGCTTGAACCGTGTTGTGTGTTCACTATTGCCTCCTCCTCCTCTTCATCCACTCTCAATCCACTTTTGGTATTTGTTGAAATAACTAAGGTTCTGGGGTGGATTTTTTTCCTCCCTTAATTTGTGTTCTCTGTGCCAGTTCTCAGCCCTGTGGCTGTCACAGGGTTAAAAAAAAAAAAGGCAGTCCAATGGCAGTATGAAAGTGAAGGTTTTTTTCTTAGCTGCATACTACTGTAGCTTCAATCCATCAAAAACCAGCCTCAGCACATGCTCCATCCTCCAGTGACACACAGTCCATAGAATGCTGTCCTCCACCTCCTGTCCTCAGCTGAATAACCAGAATGTACATTTTGACAATAATGCTAAAAACAGAACTGAAAAACAAATTGAAAGGCTGATATATATATATATATATATATATATAGTAACAACAGGATGGAGAGAGAATTTTGGAGGCAATCCTCACTACGGCTGGAGATGAAACTGGTGGCAATGCTTCCAAATGCTCAAGTCGAGGAAGGAGAAACAGGAAAATGCCCACCCAGGAACAGCACTTTATGATGAATTTCAGCATAATATGAAGAAACAGACATGCAGTTTGGATGCTACATTTAGATCTTAATGATCAAAGAGCACCTTCTCCATATACTTTCATGCTTCTCCCCAGAGATATTTCCCATTAAAAAAGAATGGAAATAACATTACATTGTGCACGCCTTCTAAAGCAGCCCCTTTACACAGGCTCATGCAGGCTTTTCGTGGAAATCAGTCTTAGGTGAAAGCACAGAACATGGATCCCTACGTCTCAGCAGCAGCAGGTAGAGGAGACCCAGACAGGAAGGCTGGATCAAAGGCTTTGAGGAGGAGCATGGAAAAGAGCCAGAGTGAGCTTCAGAAGTCAAACACAATTTTTATTAGGGTTCAGAGATGATAAAAGGCCAGTGATGTTCATTTTCCTACTTCCTGCAGCAAGGGACCAGGGGGCTGCAATGCTCCGCATCCCTTTCAACAGCAGCTTGCTGCAGTGTATTTCTTGGCACGGCCCTAATTGTATCTCCTGGTCCCAGTGGAAGTTCACACTTTTTAATATGTCTTATTGCTTCTGCAACTGCTGCCACCAGTCAGCAATCACAAACAGGAAGCTATGAGTCAGCAGAGCCATAACCTGCGGGCTGACAGCGGCCAGAGGAGAGGGACGATCCTGGAAAACACCAAGAAGGGCCGAGCCGGCCAGGCCCTGTTGTGGGAATGGTGCCCAGCCTGGCCCGGGGATGTGTCTGGAGCCTCGGTTCCTAATTCAGCCCTTCAGCTTACACCAAAACCTGGCATAAAGGCCCAGATGTCGCTCTGGGCCTGAGCGCCGTCAGAGAGGTTTCCCAAAGCTGGTCCCCGAAGCTCAAGGCTGTCATGGCAGAGCAAGAGCAGACAGGGACACCAGTACCAGCCCTGGGTTCAGTTGCTCATCCATACTCCAAAAAGCAGGTTTTTTACCCCAGTAGGGAGAGGCACGGCAGAGGAGGCAGTGGTGACCCCTTGGCCGGGAGACGCCGACAGCACCCAGAGCTTGGCTAAACCACGGCTCAAGTAGCGCAGGGAGTGGATGATCTATTCCCAGCCTGGTTTTGTCTGTTTTCTAACTGTATTTAGCAGCGAGTTTACTCCAGACTGAGCCTGCGTGAGTAAGTGTGCATGTAAGGGTTGAGGATTGGCTGTGGCAGGCAGAGGGTTTGCTGAAAGGCTTGTTAAGGAAGCACTACTGACCATGCAATCCAATTACATAATGCTTCAAAAAATAACCGAGCTGGGAGTCGGGTCTGAGCAGCGCATTTCAGCAGCAGAAAGAGGTATCAAATGTCCGTCTTCCAACCCAAAGGCTGACAGTGTATTTGTGCCACAATCTGACACTGCACCTTGGCCGTAAACTGCTCTAAAGAGGAAACTTGCTTCCAGGGGAAATGTCTGCTGTTCCCTTTCAAGGCAGTGCTGCACCCTGCAGACCAGCGTTATTTGAGTCCTTGTAAAATTACCACTAATCTCTGCACTCAGGATGCCTTGCGTTTTATGGGCACTCATATGACGGCAGCTTTGTTTTCTGGGGGGAAAGTGGAGTGCTGAGCAGGGAGAAGCAGGCACCTGGCCATCAGCAATGCCTCTCAGGGGGTTTTCCTCAGCTCCTTGCAGTTCCTCTTGGCTGTTCCAGACAGGACGGACATAGAGATGATGCACAGTATTATACAGGACAATGTCTGAAAAAAATACCCTGTCCTGCCTGGGAAAGATCCAGATGCAGTCCCGTTCCTGGGCAGAGCTTGCACAGAGCTGCACATCCCTTCTGTCGAGATGGATGCTGAGGGAGGGGACCGAAGGGCCAAGCTCCAGGGTGGCTCTATCCACACGCTGTTTGGGATGACCAGGGATTTAGAAACCTCATCTCAAAGCAGCACTGGTAGGTTTCATTGGAGTTACTAATTTAACTGCTGGGCTGCTCTGACGGTGTCACAGAGAAGGCACACTTCTGGTGAATGAGGGAACAGCAAACTATGGATATTCTTGGCCTCTGCCGAGCTGGGGGGCTCAGCTGCTGGAGATGCTCATGAGCTCCTGTGACGGCCACCAGCGCCCGGCTCTGGCCTTGTCCTAGTCTCGGGAGCGGCGGGGTCCCTTGGCCGGGGAGCACCCCGTGCTCCCCGGGGCTCTGCCGGGCGCTGCCCACGCCGGGAGCCCCCCGGTGACACGGGCGAGCCCCGGCCCTGCGCCACCGCCGGGCCCGGGGCAGCGGCGCGGCGGCCGCGGGCGCGAAGGGGTTACGGGCGGCTCGTCCGGCCCGGCCCGCCCCGCCGCCTTCCCCGGCTGTTCCCGGCTGTTTACCTGGAACGCCCGGCCGGAGGCAGCGCTGACATCACCGCCGCGCCCCCTCCCTCGCTCCCTCCCGCCGCCGGCCGAGCCTCGCCCGCCGCGGGGCCGCAGCTCCCGGGGCAGCGCACAGACCTGTCCGCTCGGCCCCGCCGAGCGGATGGTGGCACCGTCACGGGGGTGGCGGCCCTGCCATGGGGATGGTGGCTCCGTCGCGGGAATGGTGGCCCCACCATGCAGATGGTGGCTCCACACCGTGACGACACTGCCCATTTTCACCCTGTGCCCACGCTGGGTGCAG